CATTTTTAGGAAAGTATTTTATTTTTGTTTCAACAGATGAAATTCATAACTTTGTTTTCTGATAAGACAATTCAAACATATAAATAAATAAATAAATAAATAACAACAATGTACTTATCAGATCCCCCCTCCCACCCCTATATTTTAAAGCAACTGACAATTCTGAAGGACACCAAGACAATAGGGCTTAGCTCGACAATGTGGTAATTAAAATGTGATCCTCTAAGAACATAATTATAGCAATTGTTGAAAAGAGTTTGTCCTTTGATCACACAGACTGCAAAGAATCATCACAAAATGAGAATTTAGCTTCTTTTCCATTAGAGGGAAAGGGGGTGTGTGTCAAAACATAGAGCTGGGGAGTCAGACTGAAAACAACAAAAAGCCCAAGGCAAAATTTTCTTCAATAAAACTCTTCCCCTTGAAGATACCTATTCAAACTCCCATTTCATGTTGAACCCAGTATCTGCTTTTCCATCCCCAGCACCTGGGAGTGAATCACTTCTGTTTTCCTTGTTTAAAATTAACACAATTTATAAGCCAGTATCTCTCAAGGAGAGATGAGGAATTATTAAATGATTTTTTTTTTGCAGAAGTCAGTGATGTTAACTATAAACTAAGCCACAGACATAGGCCAGAGGGATAGCCACTCCCAGGGGGTGGTGGAGGGGATACTCACTGATCTGTTCCAGTCTAAATCCTTTAGCACCTTTGTAGCAGGTTTATAGTTGTACACAGCATCCTGCGTGCTGTTCACAGTTGCCTCACAGCACCCTTGTGAGGTAGGTAGTGGTAGACTCATATAGGACGGGGATGCGAAGATGTTCAGTATCTTGCCCACAAAGAAAAGTGAATCTAGGGCCAGAGGTTTGGGGACTCTCACTCTAGACCCATATCTGTTAAATACTTAACTATTCTGACTCCCTGAGAGTGGATCAATAAAACAGGTCAGCGCTTATTGCCAGACTCATGCCTGGTCAGGTGGACACTAAGGCCAATCTACAAACCGTATAGCTTGGGTGCTGGGATGACCAACAGGTGTGAGCAGTTCGGAAGCATGATTTGATGATGACTTTATTCACTAATGTTTAGCTAAGTTACTTTGATTATGGATACTCAGTAGACACTACATAAGTGAGGAAATTCTGTTGGACAGTGCTAAATTAAATTTTCTCTATTCTTAAAACAGAAGCTGGATAAATCCGATTGGTAATTTCTAATCAAAGATGAAAAGAAATTAAGCAAGTTCCTGAATTTTCTGTGGTAATTTGAGATAATATTGGCAGTGTTTGAAAATAAATCAATATAAAAACACTTACAATGGTTTTTTAATACAGAATGTGTCTACTTATGGTTTGGAACCCAAACCATGAAGGTTGCTGTTAAAAGCAGTTTAGCATTCACAAACACCATTGATATTTCTTCCATAGTTGGACTCTCCTACACCTGCTTACTCACTAACATTTGTTAAAAGGTTTGCATCTCCCAGTTTACAACAAGGGCTGTTTGGAGAAGACACTGAACGAAACAGTGAACTACTGTTATCTCTCCTTACCAGCCAAGAGACAGTTTCCAGTTATTTTCCATTTCTGTGAACCCATGTATTCATTTCAGAGGACTCTGGGCACAATGTGCTTTGTACTGAATCTAGTCCTGAATAATACCAGCAACTTCTTGTATCAGTGCCAGGGAGGACTCTTGAGGCCACTGAAGCACAGGCAACTGAGTTCTCCAGGTGTTGCTAAAATGAAAGAGCTTACATAAATCAAATGTGGTAGAGCTGACCAGTAATCTCTTTGCATTACATGTTTGTTCTATGGTCAGTGAGTTAATTCCCAGTAGGATGCTTGAACTGATGCAGTGCGAGGCTTAAGGAAATTTGCCACAGTGTATCCTCTCTCTCCCCTCTCTTTTTCTCTCTACTTCTCCATCTCCTCCATTTCCCCTCCACGTATGTGTTTAAAGAAGTATTTAATTTTCATGGGCCCTATGTATGTGTAAAACAGATGTGAACTATTTGTCTTTTGTACACGCGGCTAATAGCCCACGGCTAAAGGAGCAGATTAGAAATAGTGAACTGCCTTCTTGTTTCATTGCCAGCATCTCCTTATCTTGTGCTAAGGAATAATATGCTCAGTGTGGCTGCAGTTAGAAAAAGTTCACATAAATGTTACTTCTGCCTTGGGGTAGTAGTATCTGCAAAATAGATTTGTCTCCTAATGTGACAATAAATACCTATTTTGCAATCTCATGTAAGGGTCTTTCCGTCACACATGCCCTATCTTGTGGCATGTGGTTAAAATTTCACACTGTAACTTCTGAATGACTCTCAACTTAATTTTCTTTATTGGTGCCCAAATAGGATAATGACAAGCTTCAGGTAGGTCATAACCTCGTATTTACCATTTCTTTTTCCTTATTTTTTGGTGAAATGACAGTAATATTTGTGTGCGTGTGTCTGTGTGTGTGTGTGTGTGTTAACTGATATTAAAATTCATGTTACACTTATAGAAATTTATTGATATGTTCTGATTTACTCATTTCAGAGTATTATGGAATTAAACAAGGGCTGTATAGTTGTAATAAGGAACTTTTTTTTTTAACCAATCCAAGGGTTTTGGCAAAGGTTTATAGTTTTGTATTGAGTTATTTATAAGAATTGATGAAAGGCACCTAGTGACAAGCCCTCGAAGCTACTGCTTTCAGATTTTCTCAGTAGTAGAAATGTTTGGTGAATTTGCTCTTAGGTTCACTATTGTTTCCTTAACTTGACTTTGTTACAAACTTATCTTCATGCTTTTTGTTTTGTGTCTGACAATGAACAATTAAGAAAAGAATATAGGGCTGTGTGATAGTCTTATCTACCTTAAAGGAAATAGGTAGGAACTCATAATTTTTATTTTAACTGTATCATGACACAGAAGTAACGGAAACAGTTGGAGCAGCATGCTCATGATTGAGAATGAGAAAGTAGAAACAATGAAAATAGAATCACAAACATATGATGAACTTCTAGTTCATGACATAGTACAGAGTCTTCATAAGTATGGGTTAGAAGCCAGGTAGCTGCATTCAAAGTCTGCTTGAAGTGCATTTAATAACTTGGTTTCATGGCATCTTATCTTTCTCAATGCCTAAGAGCAACCTCTGAAGTCGTGGGTCCATCATATACCTGATGGTGTTCCCTGAACAAGCCAGTTTGTGGTGCTGATAGAGAGGTGTGTAGTATATCCTAAACCATGCTGTGGGAAAACAGGTCTTTATTTTCATTTTACAAAATGAACTCTGATAGCTGTGACTGCTGTCTGACCAACTCTGGCAGTCTTGGGAAATATTCTTCAAGGACAAAGAAATACCATGGCAAGAACTACGTTTTTTTTTTTTTTGGTCTTTTTCCAGTAGCCATGACAGAATTTTTGTATTTGTAGTGACCTGTCATTGAACCCAAGCATTTTGTCTTTCATCAATATGATATTCAGGCACCATTCCTGAGATTTTGCTTCCGTTTCTTCCTCTACCCCCTTTACTAGAAGTCATAAAGTGAGCTATACAGGGTTAAGTCATAAAATGAGCTATATAGTGTAAACACGATGCCATAGCATGACAGCTGCCTGAGCTTATCGCCCTAACCCTAACCCTGAGGTACACAACAGAAGGACTTACTTTTGTCAGTCAGATTGCGCAGGAAGAATTTGCAACTCATTCTTTCTTCAACATCAGACAAACTTCTCTTTTTCCCATTAGCAATGTTCTTAAAGACCAGAGTCATCTTCATTACTTTCTGCATTCTAACTTTACACTAGGTCTTAGATCATGAAACTCCTGCTGAGCAAAGGCTTAGGAAAAACGTGATGCTGTTGTATGTATGGCTTGGTGAATGCTTAAAGGTCAAATGATTCTGACAGTTTTATAAGCAGTGCAGGACTTATCTTTACTAAAGTAGAATATCTTTACAGTATGGCTGATCATATATAAATTTCATTGTCTATCAGGTCGATCCATTACCCCTTAGTAATATTTAAGATTAGAAAACCTGACAGCCTGACCTCTCTATGGTCTCCACTCATTCCATCACCAGAATTGGATTCAATCGGAGCTGCGTCTTCCTTCATAGTTGAACACAGTCCTCTATCTGTCTGGTGCTAGTGTTTCCAACAGCCTTACGTTGCTTGTGAAGCTCCTATAAGCGACCTTTCCCAATAATAAGATATTTCCCATATGAGTCAAGTTGATCTTTTAAAAATTATACATCTCATTTTAAAAATAATACCACAATATATTTAACTGATATATTAGATGCTTAAGCCCTTTTTTAAATCAGGAAAGAACATGTTTTTCTAACATTTCATGTTGATAACTTGACTTGTTTATACATGTAAAGAAAACCCCACATGCCCATGATAATCACCCAGTTGTAACAGACAACAAGACATAAATCTAAATCAAGATCCTTTGTCTTTAGCACTAATTTCCTTTAAGAATAAAAACAGGCTTTCAGGCATCTGAAGGAAAATTTTGCTAGGCTTCTGGTTAGTAACATCCAAATGGTGCAGTCATTATTGGGATTTTGATAAAAAAGAACACTAAAGGAAAGTACAGACATAAAATTTGTTTCATATTTCTCTTTCCTGTTCAAGTGTACCAACTTTTAAAACAATTACATTTTACATACTTAAAAAAAACAAGCCACCAACCCCAAACATTTATACATGTATATATAATCAACAGCTTTGCTATTGATTATAATGTGGGGCTTTCCATACTCTATGGATACAACATGTAAAGACAAATATATTGTGTACTAGATGGCTCAGGTAGGCACAGAGTACCTGATTTTATAGCCAGAGAAGAAAAGAGGGTGTTTCCTTTCAAATATTCACAACACAGTGTATTTTGTTCAAAAGTCAGTTTCACTTGTCTTATCACCTGGATATGTACACAGGTGAGTGTGTGGGTGGATATACTGCTGTAAGGAATAGGAAAAAATTCACAAGTCTGTGTTAAATATTCCATTTCATTATTATTTCTTGATCATACAGCTTGTAGATTCTGTCAATTATTTTTCAGTGGAATAAGGGTGTTAAAGCAATTTAGAATGGGAGGTGTGCAACACAATGAAGGAAACTAACGTGCAGCCAATGTCTGCTCCTTTTGGCCCTTCTAGATCAGGAACAAAATTCTTAGATCCATTTACAGCATGCACAGTTACATTTTGAATGGTATTGGTATTAAAATGTAGCTAACCAATTTAAAGAACACAGTCATAGTTTTGTTCTTTTTCTAAAGCTTTTTAGTATATTACAGGTAGAGCCTTAAAAATGTTGTGTTCTTTTGATTATACCAGCTCGTTTCTTTCTGCTAAGGCTATAAATAAAGCTTTCTGTTTAAATTTGGTTTTATATCAGCCCACCTGCTTCTAGGAGAGAGAGGGAGAAAAAAAAGAACAATTCAACCTCTAGATTGCTGTCAGATTGTGAATATGTGAATGAGAAGTCTTAACTTCTAAAGTGTTGTATGAGAAAGACTGGAGGCTTCCTGTTCCTTCCCTTTTTTTTCTTCTGAGGCAATTTCCAGTTTAAGAATTACACAAGGGTTTCTGAGCTCTAATGAAAGAAGACTTCTCTCTGGAGAGAGCCTTCATTGATGAGGCATGACAGCTGCTTATAAGTGGCAGTGAGGAACAGGCAAGCAAGCAGAGAAGGAACGATCATTTCAATTGTGGCATCTGCAAAGAAGGCAGGAAGATAGGGGATTGCCTAGGCTTTCCTTTGCCTGTGGGTTTCTACCAGTGGCCAATTTCCAACTGGAAATTAAAGTGTATTTGTTGTTCTAGCTTATTATTAGTGCTGTTAAGCTCCTACTGTGACTAATTTAAAAATTGAATCTTGCCAATAATGAGATGTGCACAGGGTAAAATACAGTATGCACAGGACTTAATACTGGCTGAAGCTTGCAGTACTGATCCAGGGGGCCGTGAGATCTACCTACTCCAAGACACTAGGGAATCTTCTGCATACTCTGCTGTTTCCTCCTTTCTATTCAGGATGTCTTGCAGGAAGCATGGGGTGAGGGAAGAAGGAGAATAGAGGCAAACTGAAGGATGGCAGTCTGGAATGCATGTGAAATTCTCTTGTTCAGATTCCTATAATTGGAATGAGAAGCATCCATTCACCTTGTGCTTTGAGCCTTTTTGCACACATCTTAAGCATGTGTTTGGTTGTTTTGGTTGTTTCTGTCACCAGAGCTGCATTATGGCCATCTGTGGGAAAGCTGATTGCAGATGAGGAGTTCCAGTCCCCTGCCCACCCTAAAGGAAATGCACAGCTACATTTATTGTTCTTTAAATAGACAAGCAAATTTTATATTAGAAAATCTGTACTTATGGCATTATTTCTTAGCTAACCTTGTAGGCATAGACTTAGGCCCCAGGCTGCAGCTTAGTCAAGACCACAGAAAATAAGCACTCATCACTCTCGTGCTTGGCCTGTGATGGGGGGGGACTTCTTTCCCCATTAATCACAGTTTTGCTGGCTCACATGTGAGGAGTCTAACATGGGAATGGCTTTTGAAGGTAGAAAGGGAGAAAGACTGAAATCAATTGTTTTTCATGTACCCAGAATCACCTTTTGCCACTTGGGCAAATTAAATAATTGAAAAGCAGATGTCAAATGGCATTTTATTTCCTAATCTTTCCTATAAAGGCAGAATAACTCCAAAAAATTCATCATAAAATATTAAAGATATTAGACCAATGGGGTTGAGTAGAGAACTCAATGGAAATAACTTTGGGTATATAGTATATTATTCTACCAGGAAATGTTCATTTCAGTAATTGATACATCTTTACCCTATCTACCAAATAGAATGAATGCCTTTGGTACCGAAGCTTTTTTGTTGTTGTTTTGGTTTGGTTTTTAAATTGGTCCATACCCCCACAGAATCCTTTTGGAACCCTATACAAACTACAGACAGCAAGGACTCAGAGAAGGAGATACAGGCAGAAGCAATGGAAGTTTAAAAAGAAACACTATCACCAATTCTTCTTCAGTTGGGAGAGGACTATAAAAATGAGCAATAAAGGAAATAGAATTTAAATAGATCCCTGTGTCTCCCTCCAGCCTTTCTTCAAATTTCTTGATGTCTTTTTTGTCAGGTCTGAGTCTTCTCAGTTGAAAATGATCTATTTTTTTCTTTTCTGCAGAGCCTCAAGACACATTCTGTGTTGTTTCACAGTTCTGTGCACAGCCCCTGAAGATAAAAGAAATGCTTTGACAGAGGGATGAAGGAAGACCCTGTAAGTAAAAGTTAATTTACATGGAGCTCTCCTCAATTTTACTTCTCTAGGATCACACCCTCTCTTTTGTGCCTCTAATCCAGAAATGTATCTGTTCCAATGGGAGGGATGGAAAGTGACATAAGTCAGGCTTCAGTGGAGATGAGAGTTAAATAATCCTTTTTTTTAAGAGTCACAGACAATTGTGACTTTAGATTCCTGTGTGAACTGAAAACAGATTCTCTGACAGAACAGTGAGAAAAGAACAAATTCTGAATACATCTGTACTGTAAGAGAGCTGTTGTTGATAAGCAGAATTTCTGAGAAAGCTGAACAAACCCAGAGTTTTAGCAAATGTCCTTATGATGATTTGAGGCTTAACAAAATTTCTGGACTGTATTTTTAGAACTTGAAAATACTTGAAAAGCACATGATTACAAATGCTAAGGACATGAAAAGGGCCTGGAAAAGAAAATGATACAAGGATTTCTGTAAAGTAGAAACTGATTACCAACACAGCAAACCCATATTGTTTGGGTGTTTAGGTGAGTTATCTTAGTGTAGTAATTTGTTTACCAACATTTGGGTCCTAATACTCTAATACTCTACTTAGAGTATTAGGACTTTGGTCAGGGGATTTTCTTGTATTTAGTGCTAGAAAGAACAAGTGCTTCTTTGAAAATTCTTAAGAACATACAGGCTACTGATCAACTTAGAATAAAATGTTGGGCCAAATAGTTGTGATTCATCATAGGATACATTAAAGCAGGAACTCAGCGATGGAATTGTCTGAAGGGATGAGTGAGCCAGAATACTGGTCTGAGCAGTTATTCTTTATGATGATCTTGTTTGATCTAACAGAGAAATGACCATAAAGAAAAACTCACACAACCATTTTGTAAAGCTGTACATGAAAGGCCCAGTGCTATGGTCAATGGAATGCCAGAGCTTTGCAGATAACAATGCTTTGCATTAATCGTTAGAAAATGGAAAATTAGATGTCCATTTAGTTTTTATAAGACTTTAGCATATTGATTTATGCAAGAAGTTGCCAATTCCCTTAGAAGGTCTGGTAAATATGCTAGCATGGTCTGAACAGTTATTCTAACAATAACTATACTCTTACTAAAAGTATCGGTCTAAGAGCATTTCAGTGTGGTATGACTCTAAAGTTGACCATTTGGGGGTTCCATGGAACTCCAATTTTTGAAGATGCTAACAATTAAGAAGGAAAAGTGGTACTTCATGTTCAAAACCCGTTGGAGAAATTCCAAGGTGAAATATAGCAAACACAGAACATTAGAGAGTTTTTATTACACTTATCTAGATCTTTTTGAACTTGTAGTAGTGGCTATGGAATGTACCATCTGTGCAAGTTATTAGTTAGTGGCTCTTCAGTTTTGAAGGTTGTTTAGTAATATCTTAACTATTTTATGGATCAAAGAATAAAGCACCCAGAGAATTTAATCTGTCTTTACTTGATAGAATAACATATAAATCTTTGAAGTAAATATTTTATCGATTAACTTGAATCCAATTTCACTTTCCTTAGTTTTGACAAAAAAGAATAACAAAAATCTCTTTTATCATTTGCTTCTCTCTCTCTCTGTCTCTCTGTCTATCTGTCTCTCTCTCTGTCTCTCTCTGTCTATCTCTCTCTCTCACACACACACACACACACGTACACACAATTTTCCAAGTACACACTCTTTAAGGTGTTTCAAAATTAAAAGGAAGTAGATTCTCTTTTAGAAGACTATTTTTCCATTTTAACTGTAAGAACATATCATTTAATCTTTTTGGAGTTGAAATTTTGGTAGAATTTAGCATAAGTTGACACAAATTGTTAGATATAAGTCCATAAATGGAAAATGAATTTCTAAAATATTTGTTATAATCATCAGGATTGCTAAATGAAATGTAAACTCAAACAGGTGATTATTCAATCTCTAAAAGAATAATAATCTCAGATCCTACCCCAGGTAAGGAGAAATCGATTTATATGTATTGCCCACCCAGTTTGCAAAGCAATCTATGAACCTTTTAGAAATTGAGGCCAATTTAATAGTTCTGACTAAACTAAGTACTAAACACAGCACTAAAGAAGGAAATCCCATAATCTGTAGAAACTTTGTGTATTCTGATTAAATACATATCATTTCAGGAATACAATCTGTATCCAATACTTTTTCAGGGCATATGAATATATGTTTGATAGTTATCTAGTACTCAGCCAAGTGGAATTATGCTTTCTTCAACCAGGTCACTGATAATAATAATAATATATATATATATATATATATATATATATATATTTGGAGAGGTAACATTGACACTAACTGAGTTGGGCAAATATGCTCAGGTCAATAAAGTGAAAGAATCAACACAACATTATGAATTTGTAGAATGGTAAAGCTTAGCTTTTCCTCAGTGAAGGAACAAAAACTTGTTTTTTAAATCAACACTGGTTTTTCTCTCACTGCTTTGCACAAGACCGATACCTCTTATCTATGCCACGTAGTTTACAATATGAAACTAAAAGTCTTAATTGGGAATCAGGGAACCACACTGAAGTTGCCTAATTGTGGTCATACACAGTATGACAAATCGAATTGAGAAATTGGGAATGGCATGTGCTGTGTGTTCCCCTTGACTTGTAGCCATCTTCCAGGCAGCTGTCACATTTGAAAAAGATCATTGGTTGCATCACTGTCATGATGTGCTTGAGTCACCCTGATTCTTACTGACTTCTGAAAATTCCTTATCCAGAGAGCTTTTGGACCTCAGAATTATTGATATCAGCTACTGATGCCAAATAATTATATATAATCATTACTCCTTTCTCCATTTGTCATTAACCCATGAGCAGTGACTGGTGAAAAGTAAAACTAAGGCCTAGCTAAATGGATTACTTTTATGAATGACACCTACCTTGCATTTTACAGGTACAGCTAACAATATGCCACTTTCTGGAGAAACCCAGAGACTTCTGTTACAGTAAACTGGTCCAGGTTGGTAGTGTACATATAAAAAATATTCCATTCTGTATCAAAACTAGGCACATGCCTTTATTTATAGTAACAGAAGTTAACAGAGTTGAGCAGTTTTGACTTGGGTTCTGTTTCTTGGCATCCTACATCAGACATACACATCTCAACACATCTCTGCCTGTTACTCCAGGGATCTAATCTCAGGTTTATTGGTGGACAAAAGGAAGGTGAAATCACACTTGGAGCTATACTGGTGAGTGACTAAAAGCACAACCTCTCATTCATATTGCTTTAAAACATATACAGCATATATGTTTCAAAAAAAAGAATATAGTGATCTCTTTTTGGTGCTGAACCAACAGTATTGTATGATGCAAGGTTTTAACAAATGATAATAATAAATACAAATTTTACTGTAGAGTATGTTTTAGACAAATGTGTCTTTTTAATATGTAAAGCCTACACTGTAGGTTGTTCTTTTTATTTTTCCTTTTGTTTTTGCAGTGGTAGAAAATGTTGAATTGTTGTCCATCAGCATGAGCCAAAGGTTCAGGTTCAATACTGAGGTCCCCACAATGCCAATATTTGCAATGCAAACAATTAGTATCCCACTGTGTGAAGGGCTCTGACACATGCCTGCCTGCCTCTAATGGGCCAGTCTCCATCAGAAGTCTTCCTGCTTCCATGAACCCTGCTTTGATACAGGGACAGCTGCATGAAGCTGCCTGATAACCTTGGGATTCACTATGTCAGACGTCTCCCTCATTATCAACAGCAACACAGAGACAGCAGTGTGTGCGGTGGGCCCTTATATCATTTTCATGTTGAACCTCCTGGGTCCAGCCACCTCCCCTTCCACAACAGCACCATTGTTTTTCCGGGGCACATACTCAAGGTCAATGCTGTTTTTGTGCTTGCCTTTTCCTCGGCTCCACACAAAAAGCAGGAGAAAACAAAATAAAACCACTCCCAGGAATGTGAAACAGCCCATGGCTGTAGATACCAGTATTGTTTTAAGGTCCAGGGAAAAGGTATTGGCATTAGTGCCATTGGAAATGGTGTCATTGGAGTCGGTCATGTACATAGGGGTCCTGTTTGCATAAAGGAAGCGGTCTGAAGTGAATCCCTTTACAGTGAGAGAGGCTGTGAAGGTGTCGTTCCCGGCAGCGTTGCTAGCAATGCAAACATACATCCCACTGTCTTGATCCTGGGCAAAACGGATTTCCAAGGTGCCATCACCCAACACAGTGGCCCTTCCATTGGACTTGGTGGTGATAAAGCGCCTTCGGGGTGTCACCCAGGAAATCACTGGCTGTGGGTCTCCATCAGCGTTGCACTCCAGCTGAACTGTCTGTCCTTCATCTACTAGTAGATGCTGTAGCTTCTTTTCTCGGATTTTGGGCTTTTTGCAGGTAAAATAAAAAGAAAGAGCAGTGCTATGGAAATCCTTAAATGACCTCTCACGGATGGTGTCTGGCCCGGCACACATGGGCTGCTGGCCCCCAAACTGTAGGTTGGGTTGTCTCTGTAGGAGCCAGAGAAGTCGGCAGTCGCAGGCTAGTGGGTTATTGTTAATGCTCAGGACCTCCAAAGCCCTAGGGGAGGAGAAGACATTCTCTTCCAATGTTTCCAGCAGGTTCTGAGACACATTGAGTACACGGAGGAAGCGGAGCCCTTGGAAGGAGTGAGGCTCAATAGTGCGGAGTTGGGCTCCCACTATATGAAGCTCCTGTAGGCGAATCAGGTCAGAAAACATGCCTGCTTCAATAGTGCTGATGGGATTGTACGAGAGGTTAAGGTGGGTCAGGTACACCAGGTGTTTAAAGGCAAGGAAGGGGACAGTGGATAGGTTTGTGTTAGTGATGGAAAGGGCTGTGAGGTTGAGACCATAGAGGCTATTGGCCGGCATCATATCTAGTAAAGGCCAATAGTCGATCTCGAGGTGTTTCAGGTGGAACAATCTTTTAAAGGCATACACAGGCATATTGTTGATATTAAGATGCTTCAGATGCAGGGTGATGAGGCTGCGGAGGTGGGAAAGGGCTTCTGTTGGCACTGCTGTTAAGTTGCACTTCTCCAGAGTGAGCCGCTCCAAGCTAAGTAGTCCGCTGAAGGCCCTGTGTGATATATAAACCAAATCATTGTCCCCCACTTCTAGAGACTTCAGGTTATGTAAATCCTGGAACATGTAGTCCAGCAAAATGACAATCTTATTTTCACTAATGTCAAGCTTGGTGAGGTTGGACAGTCCTGTGAATACTCCCAATGGTACCAACTTAAGGCGATTGCCTTTCAGTCGGAGGGAACGCAGGTTAAAGAGGTTGTTAAATGCTCCAGGCTCCACATTGCTGATGATGTTGTCACTCAAGTCTATCTCCTCCAAGAGAGGATATGAAATGAATTCTTCAGGGTTTATGCTCTTTAACCTATTTTTGCTGAGGTCCAAGATTTTGGTCTCAATGGGAATGCCTTCTGGGATGGCAATCAAACGTCTTCTGTGGCAGCTGACGGATTTGTTCTGGGCAGAGCACTCGCAGCGAGCAGGACAGCCGATGGTGGATCCCATGAAGAGTAACACCACAGCCAGACCCAGGAATGGCTGCCAGCATGGTATGGCCGTGTGAAGCATGACTCCACTTCTTAGTCTACACCTTGGTTATGGGCCTGCATGGATATGGAAAGAGAAGGTGAAAAGTTCAGGTTAGGACAGACACAGGGAATGGCTCATAATTAAAGAACAAAGTTATAAAACAAAGATACCGGATTTAGCGGCACCAGATTTGGGATTATATTCAAGGATTCCCATGTTATCTACATGATCTTGGACAGTTTGTTTCAAGTCTGTACTTATGTGTTCTTGGCTATTAAGTGGAGATAATGGAGGTGGTAACCCTAAGAGCTTCTAACAGTTATCATGACTAACTCAGGATTGGAAAACTATAGATAGAAGTTTAGTGTCTGGCATAGACAAGGCAAAACAACACATGTTTCACATAAAGACCTTATTTTTAAAACTCAAAAGAAAAGAAACAGGTCAGTGGCTAAAAGAACACTAGTTCTGTGTGGATGAGTGCCTGAATCTCTGAGAGATCAACCCTACTATAAATGAAACTAATAGAGCTTTCAACAACAGGCCGTGGGTCCAATATTCAAATCAGTTGACATCTACTGCAAGATGTTGAGAACTTTTGCTTTACATACATACACTGTATAAAGAATATCTTTTAATTTTAAGGCAGCGCTCTGTCAGAGTTCTTCACTGAGGAAATTTGCTTGAGGTAGACATGTTTGCCTGTCTTATCTCCCTGCCATTGTGTTTCTTATAGGGATGACAGGCTTGAGAAACCTCGGTGAGTACAATAAAAATGCTGCTCTGATATTAGCTTCAATATCTAGGATAGGGAGGGTGCAATGGTAAGAAAACAAAGTTTTATACCCTAAACAGTAAGAAAATTAGCATATAACACAATAGTTTTATTTTCCTTGTGTAAAACTGATTTTAGTCAACAGCATTACTGAATAATAAAATTCCTTAGAATAAACTTGACAAGCAATTTTCAGAACTAATATGGCAACTATTAAATCCTACTGATGAGTCCAAATTCAACTTACTAAATAGATAAGCTATATTTAGATAAAAAGTAAATTTATAAACATATTTTCAATAAAGACACATTACAAAAACATTTTTGAACTTAAAAATTAATTCTAAAGTTGATAAATTGAACCAGTTATATATACATCTTAAGTAAATTTTATTTGATTCTTCAGTATAGTTTAATAATTGACATTAGTTTTATGTATTTATTTTTTTAGTTTTATGTATTTCTTAAGTTCTAATTTTTCTAATTTGTCTGCTATGGAGAAAAATTAGAATTATGTAAGTGTCAGAGCTCAGTTATATGTTAATATATAACTCCACTGTAAAATATCGTGTCAGTACTTCACTATAAAATTATGTTTTCAAGATAAACACACATGGTAAACCATTCAGAACCATTAAAACTAAAAGTGATAACACTACTATAAAATATGTGAAATTATAATGAGGAAATGTGATATGGATGTAAAATATGAAAGCTAAGTAAGGAATTACTTTGAAATCTACTTGAAAATCACTTTTTATTGTTGATATTCAAACAGCACTAAGGAAAAATACAAGTAACTGGAGATATACATAAATACCTGGAATAAAATTTAATTTTATGTTAAATATTTTTATGAATAACTTTAGAAAGTAAAGGATAATTGTATATATCAAAGGATAATTTCAATATATTTGTTTAGCAGACAAATACACACACAGCTTCTAACCTTGAGAAAATATATCTTAAACTCATATGAGAAGGGATGGGTTGAAGGCTGTAATAAATGAACAGATGTTGTTTATCAGGAATAATGGCAAATGCTAACAAATAATTAGGCAATGAATATAAATCTGAAAATAGTCAATAAACACAAGCAAAGACAATGAATTTCAATGGTAAGCAAGGAAATGAAAATTACATACAATTATAATGATATCATATTTTGCTTTTAGGTTTAGAAAATTGGTTAATTTAATTTTACCCAAGAATTAGCAAGGTTAGAAAGAAATGAGTGTTCACACACTATTTTCAGAAGTATAAACTGAAATTCAAATACAATAATGAGTTTAACTTATATGTTTTGAGTTTAAATAGATATACATATAACATGTCCACCTTTCTGATTCATATATTCTACATCTAGAAATGCATCTTTATGAAATAATTGTTTTTATGTGGGGATGTGTATGCTTTCATACTACTGGTTTGTCTCTAATAGAGGGAAACTAGAAATGTGTGATAGATTGAGCTAAGGTGACATGAAGTATCATTCAGTCACACACTAAAATACCAAATAATCAATACATAATAAAACTGGAGGAAAACATTTTCTCATTTGTGATTATGAATTTTTATATGAAAATGGGTCATATAAGCAAATGTTTCCTCCAAATAATTGTACAATTGAGTATTCCCAATAGTAGCATATCAAGGGATCTACAGCTCAGGTATTTTGCTTATACTTTTACTGTGCTAATGGATATGTAATTATATCTCCTTGCATTCTCATAACTAGAGTTTCTTGGCTATTTATCCATTTTATATTCAAATATTTTACCCAATTTTATTTGGGATGTATTTAATTATTGAGATGTAAAAATTACTTACATATTCTAGATACAAGTTCTTCAATATTATGTATATATATATGTGTAGGAGGAAGTCTGATGCCGCCATTAAACATGTGACTTACTAAGTCTATGCCGCCATTAAACATGTGACTTACTAGAGGCGCATACAGATGAGGTAATAAAAGGGCGGTTTACCACACCGCTAACCACACCCACTTTAGGCAGGACTAAAGACGTATACGGCTGGACGTAAAGACGTATACATACGTAGGCGGAACTACGTCACTAGCCAAGCCCACTTTTGGGCATGGCTAGGGGCGTTACGGGGGAAGGCATAAAAGACAGCGCACAGGAAGTCTCGCTCTCTTTTCCTGGAGTTCGGCTTCCGGTCCAGTCGCTAGCTGAGATCTGCTGGGCTTCTCGGGGTTTGGTATCTTGTGAGTAATTTTCTACATAAAATACTTAGCGTTACTTTCAGTCATTGTGTGTCGCGTATCGTTACAGCGTCCGTAAAGCCAACAGTTTGGTGTCGGAGCGGGATTGGAATCGGGACCCAGGCGCTTCTCTCGGCCTGACCAGGCACACGTGGACTCTCCTTTCGCTAAGTTCCTCACCACTTCGCTCGGCAAGGCACGATTCCTGCCGCCAGGAACCAGCACCTTCTACCTGCCGGTAAGGTTAGGCGGAATTCCAAGGTTTCTCTCGCGGCCACGTGCTGTTTTACTGGCGGCCAGCTGACTCCGGCCACGTGCTCTTTCGCTGGCAGCCTGTTGATTTTGGCTTGAATTACTCCATTGGTAACAAACGTAACTGCTTTATACAATGTCAACAGCTAACACTATGATGCAGGATGTTAAGAATTTTCTTGTTTTTTGTATGGATGGGATTTTAGAAAGGGTTGAGGACCTACCTGAAAGGTGCTTCCTACCCATGATGGTGATTATTAGCTTCATAATCAATATAATTTTGTTAATGAAATGGCTCAAAAATAGGAATAAACTTATACAGGTCATGCAGTCATCGCAGGATAGTTTTGAAATCTTAATACAAAGGATTCAGGAAATGCAAAATTCATTGCAGGAGAGTAAGAAAGGGTTGGTAGAAAATATTCAGGATATTAAAAATGATAATGTAGGTCTGACGAACAGGTTTAAAGAGACGGAACACAAAATTGAATTATTTTCAGGAAAAATGTGTTCCATAGATAGAATTGAAAAATTGGAACATAATGTGGAAACATTTAACGACAAACACGGTTCCATGTTTGATGATTTCACTAGCAAATTACAAAGACTGGAACATAAAATTGAAATGCTAGCAGAAAAGAATTGTTCCATGTCTGAGAGCAATGGTAAACTAACTGATAGAATATCATTTGTTGAAGGCAGTTTACATGCTATTGAGGTACTTGCTAAGGATGAGAATATTAGAAATTTGGAATCACATGTAAATGATGAATGTAAAAAAATGAAAGATTCCATGACATCCTTAGAAAATCATTTGTCCCAAGAACTTCAAGAGCTCAGAGAAACAATGATGAATAGACTGCAGGATTTAGAAGACGCTCAATCTGATACTTCAGAATCAGAAATACAGGCAACAGGTCAGGACAGGAGTTTCCCAAAGCTTCTCAAATGCCGGAATGATTTCCTAAGGTTGCTATGCATTCCCCTATGGTTTTTCCAGTATCTGTATCAGAAAAACCAGCAACGAAAAACAATCAAATGGTCCCATTGCTTATCACTGGGAGCCTATACAGATGAAGGATCTAAAAAATATTAAGGAGGCCATTGTCATGTATGGTCTTCATTCTCCCTTTGTCAGAGAGCTCCTAACCTCATGGGCTACTGTAAATAAAGTAACCCCAAAAGACTGGGCCCAATTAGCCTCTGCAGTACTCGAAAATTCTTGCCAAATTCAATGGAGAGCTTTATGGAGGCAAGAAGCAAAAGCAATAGAAATTCAGGAATTACAGAACGGTCAGGAAGTACCCCAAGACAAGATTCTTGGGGAGGGTCCTTACGCTGACACGCAGGTTCAATCTGCATATGACGAGCACATGTTGTCTTTGTGCCGTACAGCTGCTTTAAATGCCTTGGATAAGGTTTGTGAAACAGGAGAGATAATGCAACCCTACACCAAGGTATTACAGGGCCCAAGGGAAAGGTTCACTGAATTTTTAGAGAGATTATCCAGAGCAGTAGAAGTACAGGTAGCGAACCCAGAATCCAGGTGTCTTCTTATAGAATCTTTGGCGTATGAGAACGCGAATCCTCAATGCAGGCAGGTAATTTGGCCATTAAAAATAAGATCAGCGCCATTGGAGGAATGGGTCCTGCATACAGCGAACCTGGAATGTAAAAGTCAGGATACAGGAGCTTGGGTAGGTGAAGCTATTTCTACAGGCTTGAGGAGGCACCAGGATGCCAAATACCCTACCTGTGATGATATAGAGGCATGGGTAGGGAAGGCAATCTCAAAGAATTTAAATAGGCGTAAAGATCCA